TTCATCCAGCTCTACACCTTGTTATCTCTTTTCTAGCACTATTTTGAATACAATGTTGCTCAGGTTTATAACCCATTTTAATCCTGCAATTAACTTCAATGTCAATGGGAAACATAGGAAAGAAAGGTCAGATTCCTCTGCTTCACTTATCTATCCAGAAGTCTGTACTGATGGAATGTCAGGTCAGATCAGCAATGGGCTGGGGTGTGATGCAGGTGAATAGATTTTATTTGGTTATAAGTGTCAAGCTCACACAAGTGACAGGCATGGCACCAATACTTATAGGAGAGTGGTGAGGAAGAATTTTGAATGATTTTTGAGTGATACTTCTTGGTGGCCTGCCCCCAACTCTGTTTTTCCCATAGGCACCGTTAGTTCTGTGGCGCGATTTTCTATAACATGATGTTGCGCTAGAACACAACTATCGCATTATAGCAGAACCCCGTGTTGTAGATAAAAATTCTTCCATTATAAATTATTTACGTATGAGATCATTATGTTGGAAGAATACAACATTTGTCTAAAAATTAACATAACATAATCCGTTCTGCTTTCATTCCTCAGCTCCCACTGAATCACCCCTACGACCTAAGCTGGGTAAGCGAGAATATTTCAACACTGCATGAAGGCTGTCTGTAGATCTTCCGTGATCTATTGTTGTCGCGATATGTTCTCAACTTACTTTCAGACGCATGCAAAGATTTTATTCAACAATTGTACTACATATACTTGTTTCACTTTGGTTCAAGTTGTCCTATTTATCAATTTAACTTGTTTCATGTTTAACAAGAAGATCATAAAATATATGTAATAATCTTATAGCATTTTATTGTATCATTGCTGACTAATCAGCAAGAATCTTTTCCAGTGTATAAAAATTTCCTCAAAATGTTCTTCATTGTGCTGGCACCTCAAACAATCTCTCAGAATGTGCAGAAAACTGCAGCTAGATGATTATGCTCAGATAAAGACCCTTTCAATAAATAGTGTTATTTATATCAGGGCACAATTTTCCCCTTGCTGGAGGTAGTGAGGAAGATGGCAAGAAGGACAAATAATTGGGCAAGTTACCCGTGGAGTGATACTCCTACCCTCTTGCCATCACAGCAATTAGGTTGTCAGCAAGATGGTTAATGTGTGGCCTCAACTTGTACTGGCATGATTACCTGCCTTCATAGCAGACTGTAAAACTGATTGGTTTCCAAACAGGAAAACCAGGATGACCTGCCTCTGTAGAGTTACCATAGAACCATAGAAATGATACAGCACAGAATGAAGCCATTTGACCCATCTTGTCCATGCTGACCCAAAGATACCCCAATGCCCTTCTAATACCATCTTCCTGCACGCAGCCCATTGCCCTGCAGCTTACAGCACTTAAGGTGAAGATCCAGGTACTTTTTGGAAAGAGTTCAGGGTCTCTGCCTCCACCACCATCTCAGGCAGTGAATTCCAGACACCAGCCACTCTCTGCGTAAAAACATTTTTGCTCACATCCTCTCTGATCCTTCTGCCATTTAGCTTGAATCTACGACCTCTGGTTTTTGAACCCTCTGCCAATGGTAACAGGTTCATCCTATCTAATTTATCTCTACCCTTCACAATTTTGGCATCCCTCAGCCTTCTCCGTTCTAAGATAAACAACCCCAACTTCTCCAATCACTCCTCATAGCTAGAATTCTCTGGCCCTGGTAATATTTTAGTCTGAACTCTCTCCAGAGCAATTACATTCTTCCTGTAATGTGGTGATCAAAATTGCACACAATACACCAGTTGTGGCCCCACCATATTACAGTTGGGGGTGCAATGGGCTCCATTTGCCTCAATCTGAGTGCAGTCAGCAGTAGGGATGGAGAGCAGGCAGCAGGTCACTGAAAACCACTACCCTGCCATTGCTACTGACCCCACCCCATCTCCTTAAAAAGGCACTCACCTACTCACTGTTGCAGCTCCTTAACGTTTCATAGTCTGAGTCTCCAATGACCATCTCTGGGTCCTAATGGCTGCTGCTGTCTGATTGGCTGGCAGCCTGAGGCATTGGTGAGGCTCCTGATTGAACAAAATGTTTTGCAGTCAGAACTTTTAATACCAAGCTGGTGCTGGATCCAGTGAGTTTTCTCCTTGCAGGGGGCTGGGAATTAGTCACCACTGATGTCATCTGTCTCAACAATTTATGCGCACAGCACTAAATCCTAGCCCATAACATTGAATGGACTGGGTGTCATGGTAGGAAAATTCCTTTTATGTTTTAATAATCTCTGGATCCATTATAAGTGGATGTTGGACCCCAAGTACTGTTTTAGATGCAGAGATATATGACTCCATACTGACATGTTATAAACTGCTTCAATGTTGTATTTTTAATATAATATTTAACCATATACTAGTTTATTAAGCTGAAGCTTTTTTGATCTTTTATTTATCCTTTAGCCTTGAGATCCTGTCTGAAAGCAATGTAAGCCATTATCTTCAGAGTGTGTGATATTTTATGACATGCGACCTACTGACACACAAGTCCCAATTTTGTGTGACCCCATTCTAGCAGTGTTATTTTGTTCAATCATTATTTCTGCTTTACTGCCCTTGCAATAGGAAGTAACAAATAGCTGCAACAATTGAGGTGGCATGTAAGATGGTTGGGATGATGACACTTACAGCAACTACTCACAAACTGTTGTATAAAGAGAACCATATCATCAGATCTAAAGATACCTCTGATGTTAAGTGCACATTGGCTCCAGAACAGTGGTCCATATGTTTTGATCATGCTACTCCTACCCGCGTATGTCAGTGAAATATGTCGTCCATACCTCTGTTTCACTGTGGATGCACTTAAAGTCAGCTTTTCCTGTTGATGCCAAGTTCATCACAACATGTTCTATGTAACTCAATCCATCCAGGCCATTGTAATGGCTCTGTATCAGATAGACCAGTCTTCTGTACATCCCAAATAACAAGTGACTAATGTGTTTACTAGAAGAAGCAACTTTATCGCTTTCAGGGAAAGGATACAACAATTCAAAAGGGCTTTGAATGTTTACAATCTAGCAGGCCTCACAAGGTCGAGAGCATTATTGATGGAACTGATCTGGCCCTCATGGCTGCTCAAAAGAGCCTCAATGGATATGTAAACAAGGAGAGTTATCAGACCCATTAATATGCAAGTGCTCTCTGAGTGCAATAATGTCATCCTGCACAATAATGTTGTCCTACACTGTACTGAACATTATCCAGGGAAACCCACAATGCTTTGTATTCTGCAGTAGTCTGTAGATCGTGTATAGCTTGATGCTCTGAAGAGAATGTCCAGATGGCCCTTGGACTAGCGCCATCTTTTGTATCCATGGCTCCTGACCCCAAGTAGAAGCAGCCACAGCCTAGCTGAGCACAGGTATAATGAGTCCCAAGCCACCAATTGTGTCATTCTGGAGCACCCCATTGAGATGCTAAAACAAGATTTTAGTACTTAGACTAATTCGGTACACTGTTGATGTACATCATGTACATAGTCGTTCCGGTCTGCTATGTGATGTTACAATTTCAAGAGGGTGAGCATTCAATTAGACGAGTAGGACAATAGTGGAAAAGTAGGTAAAGAGGTGAAGGATTATGCTCTTCAAGCAGGAATATGGTTTCAAAACAGTTATAGAAAACTACTCAAGTAAGTGATACCTACACTGACCTACCATCTTCCATCTGCCTATGTTATGACATACAGTGAAGATTCCAGAGTATTTCCAGTTGGCTTGCTAATTCACCAGTCTGCCCATCATTGCACACTGTTATGACGCAGAGACAGATGGCCAAGTCACCTCTGTATTCACAACGCAGTATAATTAAAACTTTCAAAGACCCTCAAAATTGACCCCAATGGTTCTTATTCAGACTTTGAGAATAATTGGTTCGACTCCGGGTTTGTAGCTTAAACAAAAGATATAGCAATTTATTAACAATGCAGTAACTTTAGCAGAGCAAAATTAAATTAAACAAAATTAAACCACAAAGTAATCTAATTAATGTCAATGATATAAACCCAATAACTTTTGTTTTCAGCTCCATTCACATAAAAGATAGACGGATAAATTAAAGGAAAGAAAATAACAAAACTGGCCAGATTACTTATGCACTTTTCATGATGCATTGTTCCACAGGAACATATGAATGTTTCTTGGTTGATTTTTCTGAATACCTCAATTAGTTCCCCCTTTACAATTCACTCTGAGGAAGTTTCAGCAATTCTTATAACTTAGTTTCAATTCCGCGAACTTCCAAAAGCTGACAATGGGAGGTTAGGCAGGGAGCTTTCACATCATGCTGAAGCATCAACAGCTAAACTCCTCCTCTCAGAAACACAGTGCAAAAGCCAGTTTAAACTCTCTGGACCCTCCTTCTGTTTGACCATCGTGTTCTCTCCCAGACTTGCTGGCACCATTTCCTAGATACTGACCTCATTAATGACCAAACATCTGCTATCTGGTTAAATATCCTGCTTTCCCCCAGTGTCCAAGAGTCTGTAGAATCGTTTGAACAAGAACTAACCTGCAATTAACTTCAGGCCTGGCCCTACAAACAAACAGCAGGGAATAGGAACAATTTGTTCCTTTTTTAAAAAACATAAGCTGCTGCCCACAGTTCCAAAGGTTATCCTCAGCTCACAGTTCACAGCTTTAAACCAAAACTGAGAAAAGAGTAAAATAAAAATGATGAAAATCAGCAAGGATTCTAAAAACGCCCTTTTGCATTCATCTACCAAGCAGTTATGAAACAGTAAAGAGGAACTGTTTGCATAAAATTGAATTTATCTATTTCCAATACCCAATATTCCCTTTAGTTATTCCTTAATCTTCCTAGCCTTTCAGTGAGAAAATTATTTCTGCTGGAAAGTAAAGCAGCACTTTGAGCCTGTGATATGGTTATAGGTCTGAACTTCTGGTTGCATGGACCCCAAAAATCCAAGGAACAATTGGATCTGTGCACAACAACAACATAGCTGCCAGCATGTCAATCTCTTTCAATCTTATGTAGTATTTGGTTGCATTGGGAAGATGTGTGTACACCTTGTAAGAAGGTGACCTGCTTTGTCCTTCACCAACTGCACCACTGGTGCTGAGCACCACAGCTGGAGCCCCAACAGGCTGGGTGATGATAATTTATAAGATGTTAACAAAATGGATACAAACACAAGTTCCTTTACAATATACAGGAGCTATTTGAAAGAAACTCATTACAAATATCCAAAAGAAAGTTTCAGACCCTTTATAGACATTCAAACCTGATGAAGCTTCACCCCTATCTCCAACACTAAAGCTCCTTGTTCAGTTGGCATGGACTTAATTGGCTTCCTTTTTGGCAAGGTTCTGTGAATTCAATCAATGCTATTCTTTTCAATTAATGTCTCTCCCTGAGACCTTACATAGCCTTACTAAATTAATGTCCTTCACAGCTTTGTAGGGTATCTTCCTCTCTGACATGACCACACCCTCCTCCCTCTGGAATTTTCTTCTAAGCAACTTGGGACTTTTATCTTCCTACCCTGAATGTTTAGGAGACTGCTAAATGTCCAGCACTTCTGCTGCTAAAAATCTATTTCTCTTTGGGTTGTAAAACTCCAGTCAGTAAACACCTTAGCAATTATCCATGTGGGTTTCCTTGTCATCTACCTAAAATCACATGGTATCTTGGAAATTTTGTCTTTGGCTCACTATTCAAAATGACCTTTTGATCTTAAAAGAAATAAGACTTTCACAGTACTCAAAAAAAATCGATTTTCTTCCATCTTAAAATCTAGGTTTCCGTGTGATAACAATATACTATGAGCCTTCATCACAACAGCAATGTATAGATGTTTAGGTTACAATGACAGCAGTCTTAGGGTTTGTGTTCGGTCCCTGATTACTGTTGGCATCCTCTGTAAATGACTGAGAAAATCCCACATGCTCATTTGTTTTTTACATTCGAACAAGTCCCTGTTAGTAACCTCAGAATGTGACATATCACTATTCTTGACAGGGAATGTCCTATCATTTATGCATGCAAAATGAGAAGAAAATTCATTTTGCAAACAACTCTTTGATATTTATCTGATCTCGCAGCTCAAAAATGCTTCGCTTGATTAGACGCCAAATTAGCAACTACACTTGGACAGACCACAGGATGGTTTGGTGGGAGAAAAAAAAATGTCACATTAAGAGGATGCTTTTCTTAGAATGAAACAAAGCAGATTATTGTTGCAAAGTCAAGGAAATTTTAGTCTACATCTAGCAATGTTATACCCTAAAACACTTAATACTGGAACTGAGCCCCTGAAACTGGAAGGTTTCAGACAACAACACTAACACACTTTATATTCATGAACAATAAAATTACAATCATTCAAGAAAACAATATTGTCAAGATATAAATAGTCAACAATGGAATTATTAATTGTTTCATTGATTTGATTATTTGAATCCCCACATGATTTCTTTTAACACTAATTTTACTGCCTATCTGAATTCTAGAATATGCATTGAACGAGGCCTCAGCTTATTTTTAAGTATTTATGTTTAAAGGATAGACCGATCTTTAAAACTTTTACATTGCTTAAGTAAAACTTTGTTGATATAACCATGTTGAGTATGAAGACTTGTAAATAAATAATCACAAGCTTGATTATTCTGGTAACTCTCTCAGAGACTATAACCAGTACCATGCTCAATAAATGCTTTACAGGCACTAGGGGCGGGACTGAACAGCACAATTGGATGCTAATGAAGGCATGCAGCAGTACATAATAAGACACTAAAATACAACCTGCATCCCTTGACACACTGCAATTTTTAATGGAGCACAGTCATTTTCAATGCCCCATGTGCCATTAACCTTTACAGTTGCCATTTGCATTCATTTAAATTTTAAAGATATAAACCAAAACAAACTAATGCTACCATGGCGATGAAAAATGTACAAACCTCAGTTGCTAAGATTTGCATGCATCCTGTCCTTGAAAGAACTGGCTTTGAATAGAGGCCAAACAAAAGCACAGTTAACTCTCCAGAGCGTTGTGCTTAGTATAAATTAGTTAAAATTTACTAATATAAATGTTATATTTGTATATTTCATATAAATTAATATAAATGTTTTCTCTTAATAAAATAAAACTTGGAGGAGTTCTTAAGACATTGTCAGACAAGCTCAGATTTTGTTTTCCAGAACAAATTGTTTTGTGATAGATTGTTTATTAATAGGACTTAATTTCCTTTCTTAGCTGAAATCCATAGTGCCAGTGTGATTCTGCGGGATGACTTTGATTCATATCCACAACTGGAACTGAATCCAGACATCTGGTAAGTGCTCAATTTTGGTAATTTGGAGGGGAGCTGAAGGTCTTATTATCAATATCATTATTTTGACACTTGTTACGAAGCAGAGTCCATCTGTTGTGAATGCTAGTGGGCGCTCAGCCAACTAAAATATTCAAATTGGAAATTGTCAGGTGTGTCAACTCCTTACCTTGAATTTATATAGTGACCTTACTGCAATACACATTCTCCAGGTATTTCACAGATGGGGAGCAGATGCCAAACAAACGTGTTAAAAGAAACAACCCAACTTACAGATGAAAAGGTAGCTTTTAGTGATGTTTTTAAAGCAAGGACAGGGGTTAGCAATGTGAACAGATATCAAGAAGAAGTTCTAGGGAGTAGGACAGAAATCTAACTGGATTAGTAATCCAAGGGCCCGGGTTAATGCTCTGGTTTGAATCCCACCATGGCAGCTGGTGGAATTTGAATTCAATTAATAAATCTGCAATAGTCTAAGTGATGGTGACCATGATAATTGCCATTGATTTTTGTAAAAATCCATCTGGTTCACTCATGCCCTTTAGGGAACAAAATCTCTTATCCTATCTGGTCATACCTCCATGCAAATCCAGACTCACACAATGTGGTTGACTCTTAATTGCCCTCTGAGGTGGCGTGGAAAGCCACTCAGCTGAGGGAATTTAGGAATGGATAATAAATACTGGCTGAGCCAGTAATACCCACATCTCACATGAACGCATAAAAAAATCTGAAGCATATGTCACCAATGATTGCACAAACTGGACAGAAGGTACACAGACCTATACACAAGTCCAGGTTTTCACCCTTCGTGCAGTTGCCAAGATCTTCAGACTCTCAGAAGTATGTGCAGCTTTTGCAGGGGTAGGCACACATAGAAGCAATCTATGGAGAAATATCATATTTCAATCTTCAGTATTTTTGAACTCCCATTTGCTCAAGGCTCACCTCACATAAAACTGAAACAGTCTTATTTGGGATTCTCCCATAGTTTACTTTCAGCTGAAACACAAAATGCCTCTCATGTTTTCTCCTTGAAGGTTTTGTCTTTTGTCCTTCATTTCTTTTCTCTCTCTTTTCCACTCTTTTTTGTTTCTCTGCTTTGCTCCTTTTTCCCTCCCCCTTTACTTCCTTGTTAGCTTTATCCTGCAGAGATCTGGCTATTCGTGTGAAACTTTATGGGTTACAAAAAATATGTCACTGAGAAACCTGCTTCCAAAGAAGTTCCTTTATTCAAAATATTCAATGATTCTGTAATAGATTATTTATCTCAAAATATGGACTTGCGAACATTATTTAATTTTTTGAGCCCAATGGATCAAATACTTAAGGACTTATTTTTATTAATTCGGAGGATGTAGGCTTTGTTGGATGGCTCAGCATTTATTGACCATCCCTAATTGTCCTTGAGAAGATGATGGTGAGCTGCCTACTTGAACCCTGCAGTTCATTTGGTCTAACAGCTGTTGTTCAGCTAAATCCTAGAAAGCCGTATCAGCAAAAATTTATAAGATTAAAGATGAAGAGATGTAGTTTCTTAATCTGATCATAAAGTACATAACATTTGCCCTGTGAGATTGGCACGGCTTGTTCAGATTGACTGAATTCTAGTCTGAAGCAATTCAAAACGTTGTTAAAGCCTGGGGGTGACTTTCAAAAGAGTATTGGCGGAAACAGTTGGTGACAACTCAGTCCTCAATTCATAATGGTAGCTAGAATACATTTGTCTCCTTAAAATGTTTACATCAGTGCAGTTCTGGAGATGGTCATGTTTAGTTCTCGTAGAATTCCATTATGATCCCTGCAAATTCACACCACCACAACTGTACTGTTTACTGAAGAGAAAAAGTTCAACAATTTTTATATCAATTTAGTCACAGTATCTATTTGAACTAAAATAGGAATAATTATTTGTAGCCACATACAAAGCTGATAATATTGTCGTCAATCAACTAATTAGTACATAAGATGGCATCTCAGCAAAATATTTTACCTCACAAATCAACCCCTTTATATGGTAACTTCCTGCTTAACTTTTGACCCCTTATTAATAAAGGTCCCTGTAAACCCTGTGTCTCTAATGTTTAAAACATGCTTTTAACTTGTCCTTCAGCTTCAGTGTTCATACATTGTAACACTCCACGTAGCTGAAAAAGATAAAATGTAAAATTCCAAATACTGGAAGTAGAAAATATTGGAAACACATACAAGAGGTCAGTGAATATCTGAAGAGAAAGACAGCTAATCTTTAAAGTGTAACACTTCATCAGAAATATTCTTTCTGAATGAATTGTTTGTTAGGAATCTGGCTTTGCCCATCTATCTTCATTTTTCAAACATGTTTGGGGGATGCAGATGTTGAGACCAGCATATATTGCCTACCCTAATTACTCTTGAGAAGGTGGGATGAGTCACCACCTTAAACTACTGCATCCGTGATTTAAGCATGTTTCTTTAATGTTAAGGATTCTGCATTATGCAGGGTTTTTTAAAAAAAAGTTTGATGCTGTACTGTTCTTACTTCCTGTACCTGATTCAGTTGGCAGCCTGCTAAGCCTGAGTCTGAAGTTAATGGCTTCTAGTCCCAATGCACACTTAAGCCCACCGTGTAGGAATGACAACATTTGGAGTAATTACAGGACTGCTGCATTGTCAAAAGTGCCGTTGTCAAACAAGATGTTAAACCAAAGCCCTCTCAGATTCCTCAAATACATATAAAGTAATTGCATGGCATTATACTTCTCTCAACCAAAGTCAACAGAAACAGTTTAAGTGGTTGCTTGATCACTTGCTGATTATGGGATCTTCTTGAGTGTATTGGACTATCACATTTGCTACAGTCAGTGCCTGTGGTTCAAAAGCAATTAATTGGCTGTGAAGTTCTTTAGGACATTCTGAGGAAATGGAAGATGCTACCTAAATGCAAATTATTTATTTCTTTTCATGTTTAATCATTTAAGGTCAGTCCACTAGGCTGTATGAATTAAAGTATTCTTTCTTTGTCTGATTTCTCTAAGGTTTGAATGCAGCCACTGTGTGATAGGGAATCAGTGTGGTATCATTATGCATGGCAATGCGATTACATTCTGCGAGCCATATGGCCCACGAGAACTGGTAAATTGCTTTTAAATGTGAAGAATTTACTTTATGAAATTACAGCTGATTGATTTATGCTTTCTGCAATTAACTATGACAGAAAATGATGTTTTTATTGTGATAGAAGCTGTCATTAACTGCGTGCATATTTTTCAAGTATTACCATACACTCATTGGCTGGAACTCCATCCTGGTCCATTCAGAGCCCAGAACTGGCCTACGCAGGCAGAATGCACCCCAACCAGAGGTCCAAGGCAACTTGAAATTAAGCCTGAGATCTCACTTTAATGATTTAGCCAAGATGCAATTGCCAGTCACATTTCCACAGGTAGTTTTATTATTCCATCAGATGGGCAGATGATGGTATAGCGGTAATGGAACTGGACTGTAATCCAGAGGTCCAGACTAACGCTCTGGAGACATGGGTTTGAATACCATCATTGCGACTGGTGGAATTTAAATTTAGTTAACAAATCTGGATTTGAAAGCTTCAATCATGGTGACAATCACCGTACAACCATTGCTGATGGTCATAAAAAACCATCTGGTTCACTAATATGTTTTAGGGAACTAAATCTGCTATCCTTACCTGATCTGGCCTACATGTGAGTCCAGACCCAAAGGTTGACCCTTTCCCATGCCCACACAAAGAATAGAAAGAAGACTTGGAAGATTTGTCAAATGTCCTTAGAAATGCTGTATAGTTGCAAATCGTTAATCTATTCTTCCTTGACCATTTCTAGTCTTCATGACAAACATAAAGAAAATCATTGTGCAAACATTGTATTAGTAAAGATGAGACAATGAACAGACTGAAAATGTTATTTACTCCTCAAAAATTATATTGTTTGAAATTCTAACTAAACTGCTTCGTAGGATATGATTGGCAGAAAACATTCAGTGCAGTATTAAAATTCCATCATTAAAGTGGTAAGTTATGCAAATAAAAACAGAATTTATCTCTGGATTCCCCAAAATCATAGTCTTGAATGTATGAGTGCTGCTTAAAATTTGTAGATAAAATCTGATTTTTCTCATTTAATTCACAGTTTGGATCCCAGACTATTTACTGTTAGGACAGGTCTATTTAATTTACCAGTAATCCGATTCTACCTCTAAAGATCTGTATTTTAACCCTTTCTTGAATAAAGAGCTTTGTCAGTTCTTGGAGAAGAGGTAGTTTAAATCTCCGACTATTTAGTAAAGTGACAGCCACATAGAACAATCATAGGAAAGATTTAAATGTTGTTGTAAAATCATATGATTTAAGCTGCTTTTTAAAGGAAAGAGCTCACATTTTCAGAATGTACTTAGCTCTGGTGAGCTTCTGATTATGGAGGCTCATTAGTAAATCCGTGCCTCCATATCTTGGCAGCGTTTACAGACCAGGGAGCTCTTTGGATTGCCATACTCTATGGGTGATTCTGACGAAACTCTGTGTCATTGATGTATGTAGGAAGGACTAAAAGGGAAGGGCAATTCCTTTATATAAAACAAATTTCAGTTTATTTTACAAAGCAGAAACAATAGGCAGTCTTTCATATGTTTAACTGAATATGAGATGGGGCATTCAGTACTGAAAGAACTAACCTTTTCTTCCAAAAGTCCTTAAAGTACTACAAAAATAGGAACATGTGATATGAAAACAGATGTCACAGTCTGGATAGAACTAGCATCTCAAAAGTGAGCATTCCTGAAGCATTTTGGGACATTTACAGCAGAATTGTATTTAACCACAATCTGTAACCTCATGGCCTGGTACATTCCCTACGCAATCATTGGCATCAAGCCATGGAATCGCCCTTGGCTCAATGAAAAGAACAGGAGTAAATGCCAGAAGCAGCCCCAGACATATCTATAGATGAGGTGTCAAGACAACTTGCATACCAAACAAAGGAAACAGCATTAAATTGTGTTAAATTGCCCCATAGTATCCAGGCATATGCAGACTAGGTGGATTAGCCATGGGAAATACAGGGTTACAGGAACAGAGTTAGGGGTTGGCCTGGGTGGGATGCTCTTTGGAGGGTCAGTGCAAATTTGATGGGCCGAATGGCCTGCTCCCACACTATAGGGATTCTATGTTGGTTCTATAATATGAATTGAGAGCAGCACTATTGCAATTTGACCTCTTGACCATGATCTTCCATTCAGCAAGACCATGGCTGATCTGTTTGTGTTTCAAATTACACATTCCAACCTACTCCTGCTAATGTCTGATTCATGCCCCTGACTAAAATCTTATCTACCTTCAAAATTATTCAATGACACGACCTTTTAGGGCAGGGAATTCCAAAGTTGCACAAGTCTCTAAGAGAAAAAAAATTGCTCCGTTCTGTCCTAAGTGGGTGACCCCTAATTTTAAAACAGTGTTCTCTAGTTCTGAACTCATCTGCAAGAGGAAACATCCTTTCCACCTGCACCTTGTCATGACCATTCAGGATTTTATATATTTCATTCAGATTGCTCCTCATTCTTCTAAACTCCAGTGAAAACAAGCCCATTCTGTGTAACTTTGTCTCATAAGACAACACACTCATTCCAGATATACAGTAGATCCATTTGGGGACATGAAAAGATTCCTCAGTTCTCGAAACTGGGATAGGGTCTAGTTGGTTTGATGAAGCCCCAATCCACTCCTTGATCAGAAGTGAACGTGTTTCAAAGAAAAAAATCAAACCCAGTGACTTCAGGAGAAGAAATAAGAAAACAGTAAAAAGACTGGAAAGAAAAGTAACAAAAGTCAAAATTGAGAAGTCCAGTGGTTTATAATGTCCATTTGTGGAGGTATAAGATATCTTGTATTTAGAGAAATGTCTTTTTCTAATCCCACAGTATAGTGCCTCTAATGAGTCACTCAAAACTCTCCAGTCTCTTTCCTCCTGTTAGATGGTGTAGAGCCTTATTAAGACTTGAGCTTGTCTTACAGAGCTGTAAGGTTGCACTGCACAAGGTTGAATGCATACTCAAGTGCTCGAGTTTGCTCATCGCTAAAGATCTCTTCTCTCCAACAGCTGTTGACTATATCACGTTAGATGGGCTTGGGCAGCTGCAATCAAATTATAAATGGACACAGAATTTTGTGCACAAAATTGCCCTCACTGTTCACATTGTACAGCTATTACAGCACAAAACAACAGCATGCGAAATATTGATGATTAATTAGTCACCAGCATTTGAGTACAATTTGGATTGTGAGTCATCCAATTTATCTGGTGAATGGCAGCCATTTCAAATGATAAATGAAACAATTGCACAACCTTTGGGATAAATGGATGAAAAGCATCATACATATGCTGATTACATTGCTAATTAATTGACTATTAATGCCTAGCTTAATTTTTCAGTTATACTCAGTTTATGCTCCCAGCTGTCAGCAACAAGTCAGCCTCCTTTGTTAATGATATTTCAACATTCAGTAACTGTTTTTACAAATGCTGTTGCATTAATTTTTTCTTTAAATATTTAAACTGTTCTTTTGACTTTGTTTATGACTAGTATTAACAAGGATTTCTCAACTGAAAGTAAGTTTAGTGACTGTAAACCCAGTGATAGATCGGAATTTGTCAGAAAAGACTTGGATTGCACCATAAAGAAACATCAAAGCGAGCATTGAATCTCAGAACATAAAGAAATAATTGTTACCTTGTAAAGTACATTCTGACTTGGTTGAAGGAATTGAATCAATCCGAGATTTGATAGAAGGTTAAAAAATATGGGTTTGAGGTAAGGAAAAGATGAAAACCTCTGAAAATAGGATCTGGACAACAAAGTGATCTTAGGGGTTGCACCTGTTTTTCTGATTCCTACATCCTTATTCTCCTCTTGAAATTTAGTTGCAGGTTCACATTAAGTTTTGAGTGCAATCCTAATGGTTTGAGTGGGAATTCTGATTCATACAAAAGACTTTCTTAATTAGCCCGAAGCTTACACCACAAAGTGCCAAATTCCTCTTTAAAAACTTAGCTGCTTCCAGGGAATGTCAGAGGGTTCCATTTGAAGTGACATCAGCCAAAGAGCATTCTAATTCAATTATTTCAGCAGTTTAAATCAAGATATGTCCTTTTGTAATTTCCTTGCATTTTTTTTCTTCTAGACCACTGTTATGCTTAATACAACCACAGCATCTGTTCTTCAGTTCTCCATTGGTAAGTGATATTAACCTTTTCTTCACTTATCCAGCCCAATCAACATTGAAATAGAAATCTTTGGGATGAAGTAAGAGCTTTCACTCCAAATATATTTCACTTTAACAAGGCAAACTTTTTACAATATGCTTAACCTATTGAAAACAAATTAATTTTTTAGCATGTATTCTAGAGAAATAACAAATAAGTTCTTGTGTTAATTATCTTACACAATTAAAGAATGAGAACTTGCATTTACGTATCACTTCACAATGTGCAAAACTCTGTACAACCCATGCAGGAACTATGAAGTGCAAACACTTTTGTAATGCAGGAAACACAGCGGTTGGTCTTATACAAAGCAAGGTTCCATAATCCACAATTTGATGCTGATCAGATATTTGTTTTGAAATGTTTATTGAGAGATAAATGTTGATCGGCACACTGAGAAGAAGTCCCCTGTTCTTCAATGCTACATTGGAGTGCTAGCCTAGATTCTTGTGCTCAAATCCCTGGAGGTATACATTCTGACTTATAAGCAAAAGTGCTACCAACAGAACTACAGCCAACAAACAGATGTAAGTTATGAATGTTATTTGTGATATATTTGTAAAAGCATTTTGTTTAAAACTTTCCCAAATCAGGTTTTTCTCAATTCAGAAGCAGTTTTACTTTACCATATTTAGAGTGGCATGGTGACTTAGTGGTTAGCACTGCTGCCTCACAGTGCCAGGGACCCGGGTTCGATTCCACCCTCGGGCGACTGTTTGTGTGGAGTTTGCACATTCTCCCTGTGTCTGCATGGGTTTCCTCCAGGTGCTCCGGTTTCCTCCTACAGTCCAAAGATGTGCAGGCTAGGTGGATTGGCCATGCTAAATTGCCCATAGTGTTCAGGGATGTGTAGCTTGGGTGGGCTATAGGGGGATGGGTCTGGGTGGGATGCTCTGAGGGCCGCTGTGGACTGGTTGGGCTGAAGGGCCTGTTTCCACACTGTAGGGGATCCTATGATGATTAAAATATTGTGGATCACATAAACATGTGAATGAGGGGCAGGAGTAGGCTATTTCCTTTGTGAGCTTGCTCCACATAATCTAGCTCAACCTTAAAAATATTTAATAACGCTGACTCCATTTCTCTACAAGAAAGAGAATTCCACAGACTAACAACCCTCTGAGAGAAAAGATTTGTCCTCAATGTCTAGTCTCTTCCACCATGGAAAACATCCTCTCAACATTCACCCCGTAAAGTCCTCTCAGGATCTTCTATGTTTCATTCGTTTAAACTCCAATGGATGATGGCCCAAACTCTCCAAACATGCCTCACAGAACAACCTGTTAATCCCAGTAATCATTCTAGTGTACCTTTGCTATACTGCGTCTAATGCAATTATATCCTTTCTTCAAGGCCAAAGCTGTATGCAGTATTCTGGATGTGGTCTCACCAATGCAATGTACAACTGTAGCAAAGCGTAAATTATTTTCCCCTTGAACATTCCATTTGCCTTCCTAATCACTTGCTGTACCTGCATATAACCCTTTTGTGATTCATGTATCATTGTACCCAGAACCCTCTGCACTGTGGAGCTCTGCAGTTTCTCTGCAGTTGAATAATAGAATACCACAATAGAAATTAATGAAAATAAAATTACACTTAGGTTTCTAACTTTCAATCTAAGTTGTTTAATGGAAAAAGTTATATAAATATAATTGAAACTATGGGCTGGTACAAATAAATACTGTGCTGTGAGGGAGTTTTAAGAAACTTTCCCGTCACAGTATTTTACATGGCATATTTTTAATCTCAACCAAGACAGTTTTCAGAAGCAAGGCTGAAGATGAGGCATTTCCCATTGGTTTTCATACTTTTCTGTGTAAAGGATTGCCCCTCAAATGTTGGCACAATCGTCCATCCACTGCACATATTGGTGCACGCACAAGGGACTATTTCAAATCTGGCAGACTTCTAGAGACTTCTGACCTGGCTTCAATAAGGCAGGGCCAAAACAATGTTGTGTTGTCAGTGGGAGAAAAGTTCATTATTGATGTGCTGTAACAAAGAGAATATTTTACTCTGTGAACCAACACAGACATCTGATGACCTCAGTGATCATCTCTCAGTCCAAACACCAATGCATCAGATTAAGTTATCTTTCAACAGTCTTGAGTGAACCTTGTCGATTAGTCAAAAAACAGCAGCAACGTATATTTAACGGTCACTTACAGCAACAATCTGTCCCTATCTGCCACTTAGAGCAGCAATGTGTACCTCTGCCACTTTAGTCATAGAATTCTGCCTCTCATTGCAACAGAAGTAGGCCATTTATAACCTCTCAAAACTGATCCACTATTCAAGGAGACAATGGCATTCTCTGACCTAAACCCATAAACCTGTCTTTGTCCATAATCCCTTAACCCCTTTAGATAACAAACTCTATTAGTCTAAAATTTAAAATTAATAGTTAATCTAGCATCAAAATTCCAAGCATCTATCACTCATTCAATTGTTTTCTAATTTCACCCCTGAAATCTAGACTGTGCCACCAGACCTAGACTACATAACTAGTTGAAATAGAGAAAGAAATTACCTTTTCCCTTTAATATCTTGAAGATTTGATTAAATTACCCCTTAACTTTACAAATTGCAGAGAATATCCTCGTTTGTGTAACTTGTCTAAATTTATCACCAAAATTGTTCAATCTTGTGACTACACTGATCAATCAGAGTAGAGTGGTTAGACTGCATCGAAGTGTGCTGAAATATGAAATGCTGGACAAAATATAATTTGACATTGAGATTTTTCTGTAAGACAATGTGCAAAACCTATGAATATGACAAAACCTGTAAGAAAGTTAAAAGAGTTGATGATTGGAGAGAATTTGATTAAGTGAGTGGAAAAGCATGGAAAGCGGACCTTATAAAAGAGTGGGAGATTCCACCATCAAGTTTCATCATCATTTTTAAAAACAACAACAACATCTTTCAACAATTCAACAAGCAGATATTCTCCCAGTAAGGGAGGTGATAAGAAACAGCTGTCTATCCCAACATCGAAAAAACTCTTCTCATGTAGTTCAAGGCAGCCCAAGTGAAAGAGTATCCGAGTCCAGCTCAGTTCTAAAGGAGCTGGATCACAATGAGTTCACCTTCAGAAACAGATGGCAGGTTTGATTCAAGACCAGGCACAACAACGTAAGTGGGGAGGCTGACAGCAATGACAGATGATTGGTTGCAAAATGACCCTGCCCACGAACTGAATGAAAACGAACAAAAAGACGTTATTATCACAGACAAAACTAGATTATTTCACCACTTTTTTTGCCACTCCTTGTTGTTTAAAGGGGAAATATAGAATGGTGGAAAGCAGATCAAGAAACACACCACTACTATGGTCTATGCCAACATGGATGGCACTAAAACACTACAGATATATGCCCTAAGCACCCCAATGTGGTAGGCCTGACATCAAATGTTCTTCTTGCCTCCTCATGTCAAGGTTCAGCAAATGGATCAGGTGTGCTTAGGAAGCAGCTGATTTCTAAAGTTATGCAGGCCATTTTGATGCTGTAAAAAGTATGGAAGATGGTGGAGAAAGCAATAATTGCAAACTGCTTACATCACACTTAGTTTAAACAGGTTATATGACTACATAAGACAATGAGAATGAGGAAGAAGCAGGGTGAAGCCAAGCAACCCAAAGACAGGAGTCAATACAGTGTAGAGCTGGAGGAACACAGCAGGTCAGGCAGCATTAGAGGAGCAGGAAGTCAACATTTTGGGTTTATACCAGTCATCAGGACTAATGAAGGGTGTAAATCCGAAACATCAACTTTCCTGCTCCTCTGATGTTGCCTCCAGCTGTGTCCCTCCAGCTCCACATTGTATTGACTTTGACTCCAGTATCTGCAGTTCGTGCTACAACCCAAAGACAGACACTAGCACAGGGTTCAGAAGGCAGAGAAACATTATCGTTCCAGCAAAAGAATACAAAATTCTGCATTTCGTGACTCAGTTCACACTTCTGTTCGGAGATGAACATGTGAATGGATGTGATCAGCTGCTGATCCTTCCTAAGCTAATCCATCCCTTGTTCCAATTTTGCTGGATGCCTGCTGGAGATGTGGTGAGAGGCAAGACCCTCAAAGAACTTGTAGGCATTGAAATTTAAAACGATTTTTTTATTTCACTTTTTCCACTTGTTTATTTCCATTTACATGCTCCGTTGATCTATTTAGCTCAAGAATCATGCTAAAGACTAAAGAAGTACAATTTGTTGTTTTAATAGTTGATATTCATTTACTGTGCAGTCCAATGTACACCACATGTGATGCAATAATTGAGATAAGGTTATGTATAAATAGAAATGAACTGCTCATTCACATTAGGCTGTAGGATTCAGTTTTATATGCTAAGCTGTTGATGCAAATGCAGTTTTTTTGCACTGGTAAAATCGTCAACGATTATATTAGTAAATTAAAGATAAGTGCTGCGCAAGGGTACTTTGTGAAGATAATAAATTGGGACATATTATAATATACTGGCCTCTTTAACTCTTAATATTCTCATAGCATTTCGGGACAATGTTCAAATTAAGTATTTTGAATATGAATAATGAATAAGAATTATTCTCATGAATAAGATTGTATCTACTTGAATCGCTATTTTTTCTTTCGAAGAGCAGAGGGGCAAATTAGATATAATTTGGATTTGGTCCCTTACTCCAGCTGCAGTTCAAATTTCTAATGAGCTATAGCTTTAAATATAATTCTTTGAAACATGATCATGCACAAAATTAATGACATGCCAATGTACAGGTTGTCTTTTTATTAAGGTGTTTAATGCATGTAGAGCTGAGTGCTCCATTTCATTTACTGTTTGTTTCCTTCAGTTGTGAATGTGAATGATGTTCTTTGTAACCGTGAGGAAAAGAGACAAATTGCTTTTTTTCCTGTCTGGTAATGGAGTGCTCCGCTTCTGCTGACTGCTGGGTTGCCCTGGTGATTAACCAAATATATTTTAATCTCACTTCCTTGGAATGATTTTACAAATCCTTTCATGTTGATATTTTTAAACTTTTTTTTAAATTACTTTTGCTGAATTTTCTGAGGTCAAATTTTCAATCGATGGTGGAATAGAGGCTGGCTGCCAGGTTTGCATTTCCCTACTGTTGTTGGGTAACCTACGGTCACTCCAGCCTTGGGAACCTGCCACTGTCCTGGTTTGTCCTGAAAGATTATTTGCTGGGCCCCGACACTGACCTGTATGGGTTCCCAACGCTGTGATGAGACTCACGAATGAAAATTTGGCCCCTCCTTTCGGTTCCGACTTGATCCTGCCGTTCTTTGCACCATTCTTTGATCAAAGGATGACCTGTGATTCCAACACCACCACCCCCCCACCCCGCCACACTTAACTGATAGAACCTCTCTTTCCCAGTTGATATGTGTCACTTGAAACAGAGCTCTCTGCCTAACAAATAAGAATTTCAGGTCTAAAACTGAAATATTGTTACATGACAGTGTTCATACCTTCAAATGTCAGAATCTCAATTAGCCATTGAAATGCAACCAAGTAAGGGATTGTGTCCAAATAGCTGAGAAAGCATAGGTTCCACATAACCTGTTCCATCATCTACTCATAAACAGAAAAAGAACAAATGTTTTAATTAAAAACAATATACAAAACATTTCAGATAACAAGGTGTAGAGCTGGATGAACACAGCAGGCCAAGCAGCATC